CAAGCTGCATGGCCCTACTTGTTGTCACACCTCTGTAAACAGAAGTGAAGTTTTGATTTACTTTATTTTTCTTAGCTTATTAAATTTTTCTAGTCCTGAATATAAAATTGATGAAAATTCAATAACCTTATTGAATTTTTGATTAATTGGGATACTGATCTTGCTTTGTGTATATGTGTATTATGTAAAGAATAAAAATATATATCTTTTAGAATAAAATTTGTTGATTGTTAGTAATCACCGAACTTTATTTTCTTCTCTCAGTTCACACTAGCACTAATAAGTCATACTAGTATAGGAAGAAGAGAGTTCTATTAACATTAGGAAGTTGTACTAGTGGTCAAGCATGAAGCCCCTGGAACAAAACTGACTTTGAAGGTTTACTAGAATGCTAGTTTGGGCATGTAATTAAAGCTCTGTCCTTTACTTTTCTCACCTGTAAATCGGGATGACATTAATAATAGTACCCACCTCACAGCAATGTGTGAATAAGTTCATGCAAAGGGCTTATAATAGTGCATGGCACATGGTAAGCATCCCATAATGACTAATCGTCATCATTAGAATGTAAGCCTTTGACCAGTGGCCAGGTGAAGCAGACCACACCTGGGAAGAGCATCAGTTCTGGGGGAAGTTTCTAGGCATGTTTCTCAGCTCCACCGCTGATAAAGTCTGTGACCTGGACAGTGCCCTTGGTTGATTTAAAGTCACTATTTGGATCTCTGAAACGAGCATGATGATATCGTATTGAAAGTGCTCTTGTGAAGGCTCCCTGACACAATGTGTGTGAGTGGCATGGTGCTGGCACATAATAGATGGTCAGTAAATAATGGCTAGCACAACACAGGAGCAACCTGGTGTGTGAAATAAGTGTGGGCTTTGGACACAGACACTTTGGGACTTCAGGAGACCTGATTTCTCTCCTCTTGAGTCTCTTCATATGTAAAGTTGGGAGACAAATGCCTTTTGAAGCTTGGAGCCAGTGTGTGGAAAATGTCTGTCTCATAATAGGGACTCACTGTATTTGTTTTTATCTATTCCCAGGGTCAGCAAACCACAAGTTGAGGGCCAGCTCCTGCCAGCCTCCTATTTTAGTGTGGACTTACAGCCAAGAAGAGCTATACATTTTGAAATGGTTGAGAAAAAAAAAGAAAGAAAGAAAGAAAAAATTTTGTGACTCATGAAAACGATATGAAATTTACATTTCAGTGTCTGTCTATAAAGTTTTATATGAACACCCTCCTGGCCATTTGTTTCTATGTTCTCTGGTAGTTTTTGCAAAACAGTAGCAGATGTGAGTAGCTGTGGCCGAGATTGCAAGGCCTGAAAAGCCTAAAATATTTACTACTTGACCCTTTAGTTAAAAAAAAAAAATAGTTTGCTATACTAGTCCCACATTGTTGTCTAGAAGCATTTGTTAGAACCAAAGAATTGGTGAAATTTTAAATAACTCACTAACAATCCTAGAACATTATTACTTAGGTGGTGTCTCTAAACTTGTTTTATTTTTTCATCTCTTCTTTTTTTGTTTTTAATTTTACTTTTTGAGTCCAGAACTCATCCTGTCACCCAGGCTGGAATGCGGTGGCACAATCATGGTTCAATGCAACCTCAACCTCCTGGGCTCAGGCGATCCTTCCGCCTCAGCCTCCTGAGTAGCTGGGACTACAGGCATGTACTACCATGCCCAGCTAAGTGTGTGATTTTTTTTGTAGAGATGATGTCTTGCTACATTGACCAGGCTGGTCTTGAACCTCTGGGTTCAGGCAATCCTCCTGCCTCGGCCTCCCAAAATGCTGGGATTACAGACTTCATTCCCTTTATCTTCCCCGCTCCCTACTTCCTTCCCCTAATCCCATACAGCCAGAATGCAAGGGAGGCTGAGCGACAATTCAAGATGATCTTGTTTCTTTTTTGCTTTTGGATACATTAATGTATGTTGAATGAAAGAAAATAAATGTCTTTAGACTGACACTCTATAAATATGACACAGAAATGCATCTGAGTTGCTTGATTTAGGTATTTTAGAAGTAATAAACCTATGCTCTGAGCGAGTTTTATGTCCTGGAAAGGCAAGTGATGGATTTGCTGCAGTTCAGGGTTTTCCTGACAGGATTTACATATTCCAGAGCCTGAGAAAAACAGGGACCCAAGAACAAAGACTTATGCTATCTCTGTGGCATAGCCACTAAATTATCTGTTTATATCTAACAAAAATATAAACATAAGAATTTATCTAACTATTCAAATAACCTATCAAAAATAATTTAAATGTAAGTCATTGAAAACAGTCATTTAAAAAAATGTAATATTAAATCATTTTATTTGTGTGGAGTTTTTTAAAAATGGAATTAATCAGAAAGCTTTGTATAGATCATACTTCGCCAGTGGATTAAAGAAAAAAGTTTTATTAATATTTGGTATTCTGGTAGAGGTAATCTTGACAAGTCATTGTCAAGATTTTTCAAATTGTAACCTATTACCAGTTTATTACCTATAAAAAGCTCCCTGTGTGCTGGAGGAATAAGTACTGACCTAAGTTGTTCATTAAATATTCAGTTGTGCAAGCTGGATGTCAAATTCTTGGCAGCTTGAAACTGTCCATGGTGAGAGTATTTACAAAAGGGAATTAGGCAAATTCTAGCATTAAGAGCTTCTTCCACCCCACCACACCCCAGGTGATCTTCAGTACACCACAGAGTATGTTTAAATAAACCATTCCCCTGAGGGTTCTTTTTAGGGGAATGAAAATGTTCTATAACAGATTTATGGTGGTGGTTGTATCACTCTTTAAAGTTATTAAAAATTATTGAATTATACCCTTGAAATGGGTAAATTTTATGATATGTAAAATGTACCTCAATAAAGTTGCTAACCAAAGTGTTGCCAAACCAACAAACAAAATGTCAACATTTATTAGTGGCTTTAAGATGAAGTACATACCCAACAAACAGTCTTAAAATGAAAAAAAAGCACATTCACTCAAGGCTTTTGGTGGGTACATATTCTATACAGAGAGTCTCAACCTTGGTCTCACTTTGGAAGTACTTGGAGAGTTTAAAAGGAAAATGCTGATACCATTTCTTGGGACTGTGGTCGGGGTGCCAGTAGCTTTTAAAACTTGGTTGTTCTGGTGCATAGCCAAGATTGAGAACCAGGACTGCAGAGCAGTTTTCCTAGATAACTGCAGGGGTTTCCCATTGTTATGGAAATCATCTTAACCTGCTTAGTACATTTCCCTGCCTTCTGAAATAGAAGGTGGCCTTCTGAAATAGAGAAGTCTGTCCATAAATGCACATTTTTGTGATGTTGGGGTGGCTCTGAGTTTTGTATTACATTTCTATTCTTTGCACATGGAGGGAAGACACAAATTTCTCCTGTGGGGTTTACCTGTAGTCGCTTCCTGCTATTGGCATCATGGAGGGTCACAGAGATGTCATCTAGTTCATCTTTGTCATCTAAGTGTGTGCCCATAGTACTCAAGCATAGAATCTAGGCTCAAGGCTTGTCTGTGTAAATAGTGAGCCAGAATTGAGTATTTTCCTTTGTCTCTCTTCTCCTCCAGCGTTTCCTACTACAGTGAACTGGGAAATAGATTTTAAAAAAACACACACAGAATACACTAATAGCTTAATGAATCAACAAGGCACTAAGTGAGAGGACAAAGTTAAGCTTTAGTGATTGGACTTTGTGACATCTGCTTTGAATGCTCACAGAGCAGCTCTTTTATCACTTCTGTTTGGGGATTTAATCTAGAAGGATAGAGAGGTCCTGGAACTCTGACTTCCAACTGAAGGGAAGTTTTTTAAAATTAGAAATTCTAGCTATTATAACTGATTTCACAAATGAAGGTACAGTTCAATTCTGAGATCTCAAAAATAAATACATAAAATCTAAAGACAAAAATTCTTGAAAACTTTTACAGTAATACAATACAAAAAAGATACAACCTCGGCAGTGTTAACACAGAGAGATTGCAACTTGATTTTGGTTTTTCTCTGGTTAAGAACATAGCTTTTGGCAGGTTGGAATCCCAGCTTTGCCAATTAATTGATGTGTGACCCATAAGCAAGTTATTCAAACCCATTTGGTGTTTGTTGTCGTCACTTGTTAGATGAAGATGATGACAGCTTCTATGATATTAGGTCATAAAGATTTTGAGCTATTTATTTACACAGAAGATACAGGTTTCACCTCTCCTCACGCACAGGTGTCGAAACTACCTTCATCAGGATAGTCCCAGAGCTTTAGGTGTAAGGTTCAGTTTCCCCAGGAAATCCCCTGTTCCTTTCTTGTGCAACACTTGCTTATTTATTTATCTTGATGAGTTGTCTCATCTAGGTCCCTTCTTAAAGGCAGACCTTTGATGACTCCACCTACATAAACTCAATTTTTGTTTGAGGCAAAAATTTTTTCTGCTTCCTGGATTGTTAGTATTTAAAACTCAAAGTTGTCCCTTCAGACATACATACATACTTACAAGAGCTCACAAATGCAGTATCAGGAGAAAGAAATACATAAGTGAGATCGTTGCAGAAACTTCCTCATTTTCTCTCGTTTAAAAAAGTTCCTCTTCCTTACAGTAAGGAAGACTTTCTATTTATCTTACCAGTAACACAATCCTTTTACTGTCCTGGGGTCCATGCTCAAAACTCTCAAACAACATATGTACCCCCCAAACCAGAGCAACATCAAGAAAGCCAAACATCACCTCATACATCTGAATTCTGTCCTTATGTTCAAAGATTGTCCAACATTTGGCATTTTCCTACTTTCCCAACTTACTTGATTTCACATCTAGAGAAATAATATATGCTTTTCCAATGGAATTATCCCCAACTGGGAAGATACCTAACACACACAAATGAATGAAGAGGAAAGAGATGGGAATGGCTACGAGCAGAGAAGTGCTGAAGATAATTATCACAGTGAGCACACAAATGGGAGTGTGGCATCATGCCCATCCAGCAGGCACTTGGAAAGGAGACTTGCTGTCTTACCCCAAGTCCTGGAGCAGCTCGGCTTCTCCATCAGATCTGCTCCACAGATCGGAGGGATCCCGGGAGCTCATCTTCTCTTCTAGAAGTTCTGCTCTGCCCATTCGCACCCTTCACAGAGGCAGAGAGAAAGAGAGAGAGAGAGAGAGAGAGAGAGAGCGAGTGAGAGAGAAACAGTCTCTGCTGCTTCTGACACCCTCTCATTGAGAGAGGAGCCTGCTGTGGCTGAGTCTCTCAGAGCAAGGAAGTGAAACTTGGTTACTTACTCCTCCCACCAACACTCACTACCCTGGCCAGCGGGGAAGGATCTATCAATCAGGAAGTATGCAAACTTAGGAGGCTACCTCTGAGGACACCCACATTGCATCATGCAACAGGCGGCTTCTGTTGAAGGAAGTGATGAGAAAACCATCCCACCTGAGACTGGGCTATGAGTTCTAACTGTAAGGTCACACCAGAGTGTCACCCTAGGGCAATCAGCTTCTGCTTTGTAGGGAAGGGTGTATGCACTCATTCACCCCACATTCTTTCTGTCATGCACACAAACACAAGGAACACTGAGGAAGCTTCTGTATCAGGAACATCTTTAGAGTGGGTTAAGAAATCAGAATCAAACCACAAGTTTGACCCTGAAATTTGTTTTCTTAGAACTTTCACTTTTTGCGTAATTACGCAAGCTTTCTGACGTACGCTTGAAACTCAGGTTGGGGATAATTCGGAGACAATGACTGTTTCCTTCATGGAAGAAGGATTAGGAGAAAAGACGGTAGAAAAAAATTGTAAGGCGGTTATCCTGGTGCCCACCTAAGGGGGTGTATTAGAATTCTTGGGGTCTTGGAGCCCTGCTTCCTTCACTGGGCTTACTTACACCTGCTACACCACTGTGCCCAGATTCACTTTTAGAGGAGATTCCATCGCCTGGAATCCTAAGGAAAATTGCAATGACTCTGAATCCTTGAGAAGTAGAGCAAAGTGAAGTCATAAATGAATAAAGAGCTAGGTGTGGTATCTCATACCTGTAATCCCAGCATTTTGGGAGGCCAAGGCAGGAGGATCTCTTGAACCCAGGAGTTTGAAACCAACCTATGCAACACAGTGAGACCTCAACTCTACAAAAAAAAAAAAAAAATTAGCCAGCCGTGGTGGTGCACAACTATAGTCCCAACTACTCAGGAGACTGAGGTGGAAGGATTGTCTGAGCCCAGGAGGTCAAGGCTGCAATGAGTTATAAGTGTGCCACTGTACTCTAACTTGGGCAACAGAGTGAGACCCTGACTCAAATAAATAAGCAAGCAAACAAATAAATAAATAACATAAGAGGGGGACCCAAAAAAACCTGGAGTTATTTTTTGGAAAGTGGGCTTCTTATAGTATAGGCTTCCCTGCTAGTTAAGTGTTCTCGGAATCCATCAGCATCAGTGTACCAGCTAGTCTTGTTGTGAGAGGCTGCATTTGGCTTCAGTGAATTTTTTTCTGGAGATTCTTTCAACGTACTTGTTCATTTTATGATGGGTGATTTACAAGCGCACTTGCCCAAACCACACTGATTGTTCAGCAGTTTTTTCCCCACCCTGCCTATTCACCTGATCTCTCCCTGTGCAACTATTTTTTATTACCCTAGATGCAAGAAGTCCTCAAAGGAAAGCATTTTGCTGATGTGGAAGAGGTGAAGTAAAAAATGGCAGAAGCACTGAAAGGCATCAAAATGAATAAGTTCTAAAACTGTTTTAAGTAGTAGAAAAAACATCTCGATAGGTGTAGTGCATTAAATGAAGAGTACTTTAAAGGTGACTGAAGTTTAAACTTGTAAGAATAAATAATCAATTTTTTACAAATAAATTCTGAGGTTTTTTGGGTCCTTCCTCATATGTTGCTTCCTGCCTTCTCTATGTACCTTCAGGAAAGAATGCATTTCTGGTTTCTGTCTCTGTCTCTCTCGCTTTCTCCCTTTGTCTCTCTCTCTGTCTCTCTCTCTCTCTCTCTCTCTCTCTCTCTCTCTCTCTCGCTCTCTCTCGCTCTCTCGCTCTCTCATTCTCTCGCTCTCGCTCTGGCTCTCTCTCCACTCTCCTCTCTTTTTGTTACTCAGCATTCACGAGAGTACCCTGTAACTTGCTTCTCATAGTGTGGTCTGTGGACGAATTGCACAGGACTTAGATTGTTGCAAGGCCGCTCTGCACCACAAAATGCCATGCTCCCTGCTACCTCTCTTCAGTGATCTGTGAGACTCTGGATTCCTCTGGTTGCCAATGAGAAATTCCTGATTATCTAGAGACAGATAGCATGTGGGAGACCGATAACACATGCATAACTGATTGTACACAAGAACATTTAACAATCTTTTGGCTGCAGTTTGTTCCAAGAAGAGTGCAGGGAGGCCAGTCCAGCCAGGGAGGTACTGAATGTGCACATGGCAGAGAGGGGGAAACAGCCTGTGCACCAGATGTCCTGTTCCCTTTCTAGCGCCCTTTGCTCAGTGTTTTAGTTTCTATTTTGTTACCATTTTAGCAAATTCTGGTTTTTCTTTTTCTTAACATTTTTCAGGGGAAAGTAGCAGAATTTACTAAGATGGCCCTTCTTTCCTTTTCAATCTTCCTGCCCTTCTCCCTTTCTCATTTTGCTGTCCCATCTGTTGCCCTCTCCTTTGATGTCCTACTTCCATTTTGTCACTCCATTCTTCCATTTTCCCTCCCTCCCCTACCCCCC